ATCATAAATACTGGACTATCTCTGAGACTCATCTCCGATATCCCATTGCTGCCCAGAGTCGGGAAGGTCTTGCAGCTGGGAAGCACATTCTGGGACAGGATTGGCGTGAGCTCCAGTCCACTGGCAAACCCCTTTAATCCTAGCACTCAAGAAGCAAAGGCAGGTAGATCTCTTGGTGAGTTTGAGGTCAGCTTCATATACATTGTGAGTTCCAGGTCACCCGGAACTACACAGTGAGACCCTGTCTCAAAAACAAAACAAAATAACAACAAAAGTGAACAAAAACAATGCATTTGATCAAAACAGATTATATGCATAAATGAAGTTCTTAAAAGTAAAAAAGATTATAATAAAACAAATACAGATTAAATAAAAATAGCAATAAAATGGCCCAGTTAATTTTATTGCTGGGGAGATGGAAAAATAAATCAATACAGGGTAACGAATATTTTTAAAAAATCTAAATTATACTTATGGGGCCAGTAAGACGGCCCCACTGGTAAAAGTGCTTGCTTCTTGGGTCTGGTAACTTCTTGATCCCTGGATCATGTGGTGCATCACGAGGTAGAGGGAGTAAACTGGCTCCTGACTATCGTCCTCTGACGTATATCCTCACATATGTGCCACAGCATGCATACATATCCTAATGATACATCAAGAAAAATTTAAATTATATTTAATGGTCTGGAGATGTAGCTCAGTTGGTGGAATGCTTGTCTAGCATGCTCAAAGCCCTGGATTCAGTCTCCAGCATTGCATAAAACTGGGTGTGTTGGTATATCCCTGTAATTCCAGCTCCTGGGAGGGGGAAGCAGGAGGATCAGGAGTTGGAGACCATCCCCAGCTACATAGCAAGGTAAGTGTGGCCTACGTTCTATGAAGCGGTCTCAAAACAGAAAGCAGAAGCAGAAATTTTAGAAGTCTACATCAATTTGGGAGAGGCATTCCATTAACAAATAAAATAAGTGTTATTTTATTTTTGAAACAGGATCTCAGGATGGCTTAGAATGACTATGTAGGCCAGGCCGGCCTTGGACTCATTGAGAGCTACCTGCCTCTGCCTCTCAAGTGCTGGGGCTGCAGGTGTGTGCCACCACAGGCAGCCTGTAGGATTTTAACACGGAAAAGGACACTGATAGCTGTGGGTACCTCCGCTCAAGGAGTTATGTATGTGATCACCTTCCATGAAATGTGACAGTATGGTTCAGAGCTTAGCATTTGTAGTCAGCCAAAGAAGAAAAGGAAGGAAGGGAGGGAGGGAGGGAGGGAGG